ATTTAAACAATTTCGTAAAAGAGTATAAAAATTTTACATCACATATTGTATATTTAGAAGTAACATTCAAGTGAAAATAAAAATATTCAAACACTTTCTTATGGGTGAGGGCGAATTACGAATGGTACCACGGCGTAGTGCTGCTTTGCCGGCGCGCGGAGCGCTAGAGACGTTCAGTACTGTACTCCATGTGTCCGTGTTTCATTTATTTGATTTTATTTACTTTGCCAAAGAATAGTAAAAATAGTATATGACGTATGGGGCACAAGTACAATCTGCGCAGATTTTCTGAGTTCCAGAATCTCTTTCCCAGCTTTTAAACATAATCTGATTTTGTTCGGTGATCGGATCGGATAAATCGGAATTGTGTTTTGAATAGGTTTCGTATAGCACTGAATAATATTAACAGCTCCAAGTAATAGTTGTTCGCAGTTTACACCCAGCACTTTGTCATTTGCGCCACGCGAATATAGTAATAATGATACTACAGTTTCTGACATTCGTCGTCCTTTTATTTCTGTGTCCGTTACGCATCCCCGTTTTATGCCTTGGCCATTGATCTTATTTTGTGTTCTTTAAGGCATCCCCACATCTTTTTTCAGGATTCTCTCAAAAGTGGCTTCTGGATCTCTCAGACTCTTCTCGCCGTTTCCTTTCCCCAGCTTCCCCTCTTCAATATTCGCATTTACTTCTCATTCACACTTGCCCGATGAAGTTCCTTCTCGTCTAGAGCATTGCTTGTTGCCAGCCAGGGGGATATTTTTCTGGTCAATATTTGCGGTGGTGAAGATGCTTAATTGCGCAATGCAAGTTCACAAAAAATAAATATTAAACATAATACAGTTGTCAGACTTCTACATACTCAGGAGAAGCAAAGTTCGTGGAGAGGTTCAATAGAAATACTTTGAAAGTTATTGTTGGATATAAAATTAAGTTAATTATCTTCCATCTGCTTATCTTGATCAATCTGATTTGATCTGCTTCAATTTTCTGTTATCAATAAAATATTAATATGCTTAAATATGACTTAAATTTAGGAATATTATTGTAATTCGTTGTGAAGTTCTATATTGATGGATGTATCAGAAGTACCTGAAGAATTGGGGTGTAAAGCACCCCTAAACGTAATAAAATATAAAACTTGACATTCTTTTGTCATAATTGGTTTGCCCTATACGAGCCTGAATTATATTTATAATACATTCATTCTCACAAATCACGTCGCAATTCATATCATGCCGGAAATGCAGTACAGTAATTCAGAGAGAAACACTATATGGCAATTCTTCTTCTTGTGGACAAGAATCAATTCGCAATTTTACTCTTCTCACTGCAAGAGGGGTAGGACGCGTTCAGCACGGGACGGGGACACCACTCTAAGATAGAAATGGGATACTTCAAACCTCTAAACATGGAAAAGATTATAGTTACCCATAAGGTGCAAAACTACCGTCATTTCCAGACTTTCTAATTTTGAAAGTGAATACACTCCACCTGGGGGTTCGGAAAGTAAAACCTAACGCTACGCGGCGAACAATAATGGCGAAACGATAAAAAACGCTCGGTCCCCGAGGCATAAAAGGCCGCGCCAGGCGCTGGATCAAGGATCCGCGGCTGACGGTTGGACATCCGGATGTGGTACGAAGGAAATAAAATGAGAGACAGAGAGAGTGAGTCGGTGAGCGACATAGGGAGCGAGTTAGTGAGCGAGTGTGGGAAGAGCGGCTGAGTGAATCAGTCAGTGAATGAGCGAGCGAGTGAGTGAGCGGGTCAGTGAGTGCACGAGTCAGAGAGCCATTGAGTGAGTGAATGAGGGAGTGAGCGAGTGAGTGTTCCAAGTGCGTTACATTCATCATTTACCCCGTGAGAATAGAGCATGTTATACCGGCATTTTGTGGTTTTCCTTCCCCACTAAAATGTAAAATTCGACGCCGATCTACTGTACGTGGTTCCTCTGCAGATATCTCCTCCAATAGAGCACCGTTTGAGCTGGGACAAGCTCTAACATCATGACCACTCTCTCTACATGTATGAACATTCTTTTGTAATAAAAAATAATAAAAAATTGAGATTTTAAAGTAAATAGGTTAAAAAATAATTATTTAGAATAAGACTTTATAACATTACACCAAATGGATTGGTATCCACTATTTCATGTACGGAGTTTCTTCATATTTATGGAGTAACGTCGTGCAAAAATTGAGTTTTCTATCTTCATAAATAAAAAGCTTAGTGACATGAATATTTTTATATAAGTTGAATATCGACGATTAATGAAAAGCAAATGAAGTTGATTGAAAATTTAATGATGTTTTCCAGTACAAAAGAGTTTTAATGCAATAACAGTACCCAAAATGTATCTATGATTGATAGTGTATGTAAGTCTACGTGTATCGCGGGCGCTACGTGGCCCTTTTGTTAGGCACTACTCCAACATTATCCTGGTAATTGTCGGAAACGATTGATTAAATTGATGGACAAAAGAAAATTACCAATCAAAGCACCCGGCCGCTAGAATTCTTCTCTAGACAGCGCCTAAATGCGACCTCCCTATGTAGTTATTGTCGAAACTTTGTCGGAACCGTTGGGATTTCGTAGCCAGAAACCAAAGATTGAGCAGGGATCATGAACAGAAGAATAATGCAGTAATTTCTTTTATAGATTCTTCACAATTTATATTATAGTCACATTTTGCCGTGTAACAGGTTTTTAGCATGAAATAGCGCGCGAAAATTTGTTCTGGGGGCTTCAAAATGTCTCCAAAACATACGCATGCTCAAATTCAGTAAAACACATGGGTACTAATTCTAGAGTGCAATTAGAGGAATGAAAATAATTAATAACTCAACACTGCAGAAATGAACTGGCGACGGCAGTGGTGTGATTACCACATTGAACATGTTTACGTTACAATCCAAGTTCAACAGTTTTTGAGGGTTGAAATCGCTCGCTAAGGCATAGGTTGGGTCAATGAGAGTATCTTTAAACGAAGTGATCAATTGCGGGCCATTACAACATACCGCATTAAGTTCTAATTTGCAAAATGTTTGCAAAGGTTCAGTTAGTGTAGAATATAAAATGTCTAGGCGTTTTGCTAATCTACTTCTACAAGCTATTTTGTAATGTCAATAATTAACAAGTAGATGCATTGCAGAGGATTCTTTTAGAAATGTCATAAAAATACTAAAAATTAAGAGAGGTTCCTCAGCATATACTTTCATAGAATTTTCTGTACACAAATAAAATTGCAGTTAAACCCCTCGGGGAGTTCACTGGTCAGAGTACTCGATTTCTATGATGTGATCCCGGGTTTGATTCTCGGTTGGAGCAGATTTTAATGAGCGATTTCCATGCAATGTCTCAGTACCTGTTGCTATGCGACGATAAGAAATCTTGCTTCTCAGGTTGAAAAGACCAGAATAGGGTCTAGGCATGTCTGTGTCCCGTCAGAGGCTGTTGGGCCAATACAGACAGAAACAAATCGCTATTACTGATATAGTATTTTATGAGCAGATTAAAATTTCGGCAATTCAATACAGCGCCGTTATTCGTTGAAATGTTTTATTTTAACGCCTTTTCGTGCTGATAATTTATATTTCCAGCAGATTTGTCGGGGCACTGGTGAAATCTTTACGTCCCCCTCGCACGTTGGTCGCCACTGTAGCAATCACGGAGGAACGCGAAGTTTCATGCTGAAGAATGTTTGCAAAGCGTGAGCATCATATTGAATATGATATAAATCGACATTTGAGCTTCAGCGCATGCGCGTTTAAGCTTTTAAATAAAAGCGTCTTATTTATTTATATACCAGTATTTTAAGTTCTTATTGTATGAATACAATCCTTGTAAAGCAGTTATGCTGGTCTGTGGAAATAAATAAATAAATAAATAAATAAACAAAACAAAATAAATAAAAGCGTTTAAACAAAATGCGCTTCTCCTGAAAAATTGGAGAGTTCAGTCACGGGCCGCGAAGCCAGTCACGTAATCTCCATTACGAAATTTGTGCCCAATTTTGGTAGCAGAGAGTGCTGCCAACAATATTATCACGATGCAATATGGTGTTGGTGGCCCTGATGTATATATGGAATTATGTATGACTATGTTAATATTTATAAAATTTAGTGGGTGGTGCGCATTCAAACGGACGCGAATCAAAAGCAAGCAGCAGGGGATTGAGCGCTGGTAATGTACCCTGATGTCACTATTTAGAACTATTTCCATTAAGATCGAAATCTTGTATAAAGTGTAGTCTTATACTTTCCACGATACAGGTCTAAATACACGTAGTTGCCATATATCGGTTTACACTCTGCTCTGCAAAACCTCTCTAAAGTCCTCTTCCCGCAGACAAAGATTGCCTGACACAGCTGACAGCCTAATTAGTGACTGTCGAGTTGAAATCTTTTTATTAATTACGCAGTTGTGTTATAGCCTAATAGTACATTAAGTAGTTATAAGCGCCCCTGTCGCATGGTTTGCAAAGTAGCCTATCCGACATCTTTGGTCTGGTTTCAATCCGTAACCTCAGTAACCAGTCTCAGACAACATACGTCCTGCGAACAACATCCAGTAACGCTCGTTGGAGAAGGCTACTGATTGGCTACGACCTCCCGTCTCAAAGTCCATATATTAATATTTCTTTACTGAAACACTCACATTGCCACACAACCAATTCATGTCAAATTATAATGTGATCTTATACTCAATTTGTATAGACAAATTTAAAATCTCTTTATTTCATAATTTCACTTTTCTATTCAGAATTCTTTTCTTCCGCTTTTCCGGGCAAGAAGAATGATAACGGACTCTTTTATCTCCTTCTCTCTTCACATTGAATGGTTGAACAGGCCACATACCGGGCTTACGATATTCATAGACAGTGCAGCTCAATTTTACCTTGCATAACTGTCATCCAAGTCTTAGGAAATTGATCATGTGAGTATCATTGTTTGTTAACAGCAGCTGCAACGCATTTCATGAAAATTGGTGAATTTAAGGTGCAGCCATGGTTCACTCACGTGTTCAACGTGACTTTCACAAAGTATCGGAGCATCGGCATCCCGCCTCCACGTACTAAGGTACGTGAGTGGCACGATGAGCGTACAAGCTGTGAACTGGAACCGTAGGCGGAGTTTCCACAAACTATCGGCTGCTCAACCTCACTGCATGATATTCTTAATATATTTTCACGTGTTTCTGCCTAGCACAAGGCCTTACAAGTATGTAAAAGAATTCTACGTCAATTTCCCATTCGCGTTGCTAACTGTTTATCCCTCTTGTAATAAATCTTTTTAATTCACTATTAATTCATACAGTTAGAATTCTTAATTGTTTAACCATATGTAAACAAATTGTTTGATTTATTTCAATCATAGATATCAGGTCTTCTGGGGGTGAAAATATCTTCAGCATTAATAATTATATCATTACAAGGTCGGAAGATCAAGAAGATGTGTGTGGCTGCAAACGTCTCAGTCGATTCCCCAGGAGGCAGCAGACGTCGAGGAAGGATTCCGCTTGGAAAAACCCCTCGCCCTGGGCGGGGCTTGGCCTGTGCGCTCTGCGGCTGCTGCCGAAGCGCCCTCCTGGCGAATCGACACCGCGCCTTTCATAAACCCCTGGAAGTATGGTTTATGATATCATCCAGCCCGCGCTTCTAACTCAGGGAGATTAGGTTTACCGACTGCGGCGCCCCGACTGCGGGCGCGTTATTTTACGC